GGCTGCTGGCTGCCCACAGCCAGACATCCCTGCAGGAATTCCACCACGAGGGTCCCGAGGATGGGAAGTCCCAGGAAAAGAAGAACTGGTGCCATGTAAGGAGATGTGACGCCCCTCCCCCTGCCCAGGGAGCCCTGCAGCTCAGGGGTAGCTGGGTGGGGTGTCTTGGATACATGGGATCTGATCTATGTCCCAGGAGACCCCCAAGGACCCACCAAGGCAGGCCCACAACTGCCATGACTTGAGGGAAACTGAGGCACTAATCGGTATCACACACATTACCGACTGGTCCCTGGGGCGTGGGCCCCACCAAAGCAGTGGGTGGATGGGAGGGAGGGCGGCTGGGACTGGGGTGGGGCAGACATGGTGTGGGCCGGAGTTGGTGTCTCCTGGGGCCTGTGGGCTCAGCCCCCTGTGATTTGCCCTTTCCAAGGTGGCTCACGTGTTCCACGACTACGGCCCGGGAGTGCGTTATGTCCATTTCCAGCACCGGAGCCTGGACGCAGAGACGCCGGGCTGGCGCCGCACCCGAGTGACGGACAGCAGCGTTTCCGTGCAGCTGCGGGACTGACGGACAGGCTGGCAGCCGGGGTGCGGGGCAGGGTGCGTTTCAATCCCTCCTGTTCAAAGGCCAGAGCTGAATTCACTGCGGGAAGAGAGTCCTGTCCTTGGCTCGCTGCCCCGTGCTGGGGGGCAAAGCTGGGACTGTGAGAGGCCTGTCAGGTCAGCCTGACTGCTTGGATAGCTCCCAAGAGAAGCCATTCGTATAGGTAGTGGGGCTAGTGGTTACAGCAATGGGGGGGCTTGGGAGCCAGGATCCTGGGAATCTATTTCTGTCTCTGGAGGGGTGGGGGCGGTGGGATCTAGGTGTTAGAGAATGGGAGGAGTTATTAGGACTCCTGGGGTCCGTGGATTGCACGTCTGATTCCTATTTGGTCTGTGACACTGGGTCAAGGCGCTGCAGGGATGTGCCTCGGTTTCCCCTGTTGCAACTTTCAGGGGACCTACATTTGAGGTGTGACCTGGGTAGTGGCATTAAAGATTGTCTGGTGTTTTCTGGGAGCCTGCGGCCTGTTTACTTGCCTTATCTCCAGTTCCTCCTGCCCCTGTGGTATGCAAAAGCAAGTGGTTCTTGAGTGCTACCCCCACCCCAGAGGTGGCTGCAACCCAGCATTGGGCGCGGGTTCCCTGTATAAACAGCTGCTGTGCTCCACCCCAGAGGTAGCTGCATCTCGACTCCAGACAGGGGATCCCTGTGTTAAATGCTGCTGTGCCCCACCACTAAGGTGCCTGCATCACTGTGCTGGGCGAGAGGCTCTCTCTATAGTCACTGTGCCCCACCCCAGAGGCAGCTGCATCTGTGCACCTGATGAAGGATCCCTGTATAAACAATCCCTGCATCAGTGTCTGGTGCTCAGGGCTTTCACTAAAGACCTCCTCAGTCTCCTGGGCATGCCACTTTGGCCTGGGCCGCACTCTGAGGGGTGCAGCCTACCCAGGTTCCCCAAGCTACACCCGTGTGACATGCCCGTGGAGGCAGGAGGAGGGAGAAGCCCTGGAGCAGACAGGAGAGAGCAGCCTGGGGTGGGGGGGGCAGGGAGGAACCAGCTGAGGCAGACCCCCAGGCAGACGAGCATGGGGGCCCCCAAAGCTTTGGGGCCCCACACTTTCGGGTGCCCTATGCAGCTGCATAGCTCACGTCTGGCTAGGGGGGCCCTGGCTGCCTGACAGACGTTGTGGCTCAGGCCGCATCCCGTTGGAGCCTGTGAGGGGCCGGGCTCCCTGGGGTGTGGCCCCAGATTCACTGCCAGGGGGCGGTGCCCAGGCCGGGGCGCCCCAGCCCTGCAGTGTCTGTCTTGCAAAGAGCACTGGGGCTCTGCAGCCCAGCGAGCGACTGGCCCAAGGGTATGAAGTAACGGGGGGTCCCGGCTTTGCCCCCCACCAGTGAAGACACCCGCAGAGGGGACAGCCCAGGTGTCCAGGGAGAAGCCGGCGCATCAGGAGCCGTGATAGCCAGCGTGGTGAGACCATTGCTTGGCCTAAACGCTGCCTCGTGGGCCCAGCGTGGCAGCTAGCTCGCTGTTCCGCAGTCGAACGCCGGCTGGGGGCTGGGTACATCGGCCCAGGGGGCAAGGGCTGGTGTTTCTCCGCTTGCCGTGGGGAGCCAATGAGCGGACGGGTACTGCTTAAGGAAGGGGTGCGAGAGGGAGGGGATGTTCCAAGGGTACCACGTGGGGAGGGTTTGGCTTTGGTGTCTTTGTGCGTTGTGGGGGCATTTGTGCAGCCTGGCTGGGTGGGGGGCTCCAGTGGCGGCTTGCCACCACTGCTGGAGACAGTCCCCAGGGAGTGAGAAAGGGGCGCAGCACCTGGGAAAAGGCATTCGTGCTGCTACCACTGCCCGGGTCCTAGAGCCTTTGCTGCTCTAGAAGCCACCCCCAGCAATTGCTCTCCCAAGCAACATTGCCAACGCGTCCCGCCGCAGACCCGGCCTGAGTTGTTTCGTGCCTCAGTTTCCCCTGCTTTGTACAAAGGTGATCTTAGCATTGCCCTGCCTTGCAGGAGGATACATTCACTGGAAGGGGCTCAGACACGTAAATTCAGGCTGAGGAGCAAATGAGAGAGGCAGCCCGGCAAGCTCATAGACTTTGAGGTCAGAAGGGACCATTATGATCATCTAGTCTGACCCCCTGCACAACGCAGGCCACAGAATCACCCACCCCCTCCTGGAATAATCCTCTCACCTAGAGCTCAGATAGTGAAGCCTTCAAATGGTTTAAAGACCCCAAGATGCAGAGAATCCTCCAGCTGCGATCTGTGCCCCATGCTACAGAGGAAGGTGAAAAACCTCCAGGGCCTCAGTTTCCCCATGCGTGAGATGGGGACCATGGCACCACCCTCCTTCCCAGCCTGCTGTGGGACGAGCTAGTGATGACTAGTACTGTCTCATCGCTGCAGTTACATTTATTGCAAGGCAAGGTGTGATCACAGCTGAGGTACAGGGGCTGAGAAGGGTTCCAGGAGGTAAATCAGCCTGAAGATGTCCAGCCACTTGGCTGTACTAAGTAGAGCAGCTGACCTCTCTGGATGCTAAATGGATGCTGCATTAGGTGACTCCCAGCAGCTAAAAGGTGCAATTTGTGATGTATCCATTAATACCAGCTGATTGGTGTTTAGTGCCACCCAGAGCATGTTGGGTGCGGCATGAAGTTCAAATTAATACAGCCCCTACAAAGGGATTTTCAAATTTCAAGGGGAATTTACCAGCTGCGCTACGCTGCTTCCCAATACTTTTCCACTGGTGGTTTTTTGCTGGCAAATCAGACAAGGACAGCGCACCTGCGAGAGCTGGGCTAACGCCATCCCAGAAGCCTCAGCCACAGAGGAAGCTGGAGAGGTGGAAAAAATCCATGGTGCTGTTTGCTGGCAGTGCACACTCAGGCATTGTGGGATAGGTCTTCACAGAAGTGGACGGCACAGTGGGGTGCAAGTGCTGAATGCTAATGCAGTCAGAGATGCGGGCCGTCTGGCTAGAGAGTAAGTATCAGTGCTGGTATAAAAGCTTGGTCCACCTGGAGGTTTGGTGTCAGCTGTGGGATAAAGGCTTGGCGTGGCTGGAGGCTTGGTCTCAGTGGTGGGATAAGAGCTTGGCCCAGCTGGAGGTCAGGTGTCAGTGGTGGGATGAAGGCTTGGTCTGGCTGGAGGTTTGGTGTTAGCAGTGGGATACAGGCGTGGCTCAGTGGAAGGTCAGGGGTCAGCGGTGGGATGAAGGCTTGGTCCGCCTGGAGGTTTGGTGTTAGCAGTGGGATACAGGCGTGGCTCAGTGGAAGGTCAGGGGTCAGCGGTGGGATGAAGGCTTGGTCCGCCTGGAGGTTTGGTGTTAGCAGTGGGATACAGGCGTGGCTCAGTGGAAGGTCAGGGGTCAGCGGTGGGATGAAGGCTTGGTCCGCCTGGAGGTTTGGTGTTAGCAGTGGGATACAGGCGTGGCTCAGTGGAAGGTCAGGGGTCAGCGGTGGGATGAAGGCTTGGTCCGCCTGGAGGTTTGGTGTTAGCAGTGGGATACAGGCGTGGCTCAGTGGAAGGTCAGGGGTCAGCGGTGGGATGAAGGCTTGGTCCGCCTGGAGGTTTGGTGTTAGCAGTGGGATACAGGCGTGGCTCAGTGGAAGGTCAGGGGTCAGCGGTGGGATGAAGGCTTGGTCCGCCTGGAGGTTTGGTGTTAGCAGTGGGATACAGGCGTGGCTCAGTGGAAGGTCAGGGGTCAGCGGTGGGATGAAGGCTTGGTCCGCCTGGAGGTTTGGTGTTAGCAGTGGGATACAGGCGTGGCTCAGTGGAAGGTCAGGGGTCAGCGGTGGGATGAAGGCTTGGTCCGCCTGGAGGTTTGGTGTTAGCAGTGGGATACAGGCGTGGCTCAGTGGAAGGTCAGGGGTCAGCGGTGGGATGAAGGCTTGGTCCGCCTGGAGGTTTGGTGTTAGCAGTGGGATACAGGCGTGGCTCAGTGGAAGGTCAGGGGTCAGCGGTGGGATGAAGGCTTGGTCCGCCTGGAGGTTTGGTGTTAGCAGTGGGATACAGGCGTGGCTCAGTGGAAGGTCAGGGGTCAGCGGTGGGATGAAGGCTTGGTCCGCCTGGAGGTTTGGTGTTAGCAGTGGGATACAGGCGTGGCTCAGTGGAAGGTCAGGGGTCAGCGGTGGGATGAAGGCTTGGTCCGCCTGGAGGTTTGGTGTTAGCAGTGGGATACAGGCGTGGCTCAGTGGAAGGTCAGGGGTCAGCGGTGGGATGAAGGCTTGGTCCGCCTGGAGGTTTGGTGTTAGCAGTGGGATACAGGCGTGGCTCAGTGGAAGGTCAGGGGTCAGCGGTGGGATGAAGGCTTGGTCCGCCTGGAGGTTTGGTGTTAGCAGTGGGATACAGGCGTGGCTCAGTGGAAGGTCAGGGGTCAGCGGTGGGATGAAGGCTTGGTCCGCCTGGAGGTTTGGTGTTAGCAGTGGGATACAGGCGTGGCTCAGTGGAAGGTCAGGGGTCAGCGGTGGGATGAAGGCTTGGTCCGCCTGGAGGTTTGGTGTTAGCAGTGGGATACAGGCGTGGCTCAGTGGAAGGTCAGGGGTCAGCGGTGGGATGAAGGCTTGGTCCGCCTGGAGGTTTGGTGTTAGCAGTGGGATACAGGCGTGGCTCAGTGGAAGGTCAGGGGTCAGCGGTGGGATGAAGGCTTGGTCCGCCTGGAGGTTTGGTGTTAGCAGTGGGATACAGGCGTGGCTCAGTGGAAGGTCAGGGGTCAGCGGTGGGATGAAGGCTTGGTCCGCCTGGAGGTTTGGTGTTAGCAGTGGGATACAGGCGTGGCTCAGTGGAAGGTCAGGGGTCAGCGGTGGGATGAAGGCTTGGTCCGCCTGGAGGTTTGGTGTTAGCAGTGGGATACAGGCGTGGCTCAGTGGAAGGTCAGGGGTCAGCGGTGGGATGAAGGCTTGGTCCGCCTGGAGGTTTGGTGTTAGCAGTGGGATACAGGCGTGGCCCAATGGAAGGTCAGGTGTCAGTGGGGGCCAGTTCTTGGTCTTGCTGCCTCTGTCCCAGCCTTGCCTCAGGCGCATTTGCAGTAGTAGGCAGAAATGGAGTTGTCCCAGTTCCCAAAGAGCCCCTTCTTGAGCTCCTCCAGCCGATACACTATCCCACTGTTGAACTTGCGGGTGTAGCCTTCCTTCCCCAGCCTGGACCACACGTTGAGTTCGCAGCGTGGTGCCACCACCAGTGAGGAGACCCTGTTAATCCAGGCCAGCGTCAGGTAGGGCACGTCGTCGCCGGGCTGTACCTGCAGCACGCTGCCCCCGCAGCACTGGGCGTAGTAGGGGCTGCTGTCGGTGTAGAGCTGGGCGCAGATCTTGCTCCCGTCCGCGTTCTTCAGGTCCGCCGGCGCCGGGCACTGGGCCCAGGCTGAGGCCAGGAGCAGGGGAAGGAGGAGCAGGGTCTGAGTGGCGGCCATCGTCCCGGGGCTGATGTGGGGAACCTCCGTGGCAGGGCCCGTTTATAGAGCCCCCAGCCGAGGCCGGGGGAGCCCAAGGACGCTGGGGCAGGTGTGATAAGGGTGGGAAAAGGAAAAGCTGGTGGCACGGCGGAACATGGTGTGTCCTGCCAAGAGAGCGCCCCATGCGGGCACCTGGGTGCTGTGGCAGTCGGCCGGGGGGAGGGCTGCTCCCCGTGGGAGGGGGGGGT